AGAGAAAGAAAGGAGAGGATACAGAAGGAACTGGCATGTAGAGAAAGATTAAGAAGAAATATAGTAGAAAAAACTATATGTATTTTCCTAATAACTGAGGAGGGACTAAGTAATACAGCAAATGCTTGCTTATTTAGCCTGGCTTCCGGATTCTAGATGATGGGTTTGTATTGAAATAAGTGTTGATGATAATGACAAATTAAGGACAGTCTGTGTTATGAAGGAATTTAGGATCAGGGAATATCATTTCCCTGGATGTGTCATGATCCTGGCTCGTTCTCTGTCTCCCCCTGCTGGTTATTCGTTCACTCACTCACCCACTTGCCGCTTTCACTTTCATTACGGACAGCTGTTATCACTTTTCATTAGGCTCATCTCTCTCCACCTGTCTCTCGTTCCCCCCTCATTATCTTGGCTTTTTCTTACCTTCTCTTTCTTGTCGTGTTGTCAGTTTGTTCGTAAGTTTCGATACGTGCATCGGTCCAGTCCAGTCCTGTCTAGAAGCATATCTCTGATTACTTCGAGTGTTATTCTGTGTTCATGCGATATACTTCCAGAACCATACCTGCTAGGAGTCTGAGGCTGTGTTCCTTCTCCATGCTCGCTATCCTGGCCCTGTGAGTTTCTGGGTCCCTACTGCTCCAGCTCTCTGCTCATCTTTGCCTGAACCACAGAGGGAGTTTTCTGTTCAAGTTCGACTGCCTGTTCTACAGGAGCCTTCTGTTGCTGTTTAATATTATTCCTCTGTTACAAGTTACCTGTGGTCATCCTGCTATTGCTATTAAAAGAGCTGTGATTGTCACCCTCGCTTCTGAGTTCTCTCTAAATCCATCACAGGATAAGTATGACTAAAGTTAAACTAAAACTTTTAAAAACAACTTATTATGAGCATTTATGTGCCATTTACCATTTAATCAGCTGTGTGTTACATTCCTGATGGGGACAAACTGCTTCGGGGGTGCACAGTAAATTGAAGTTTTGCAAGATAACAGTGACGAAAACAATGGTCAGATTCTTGTGGTGACACACTTATAAGCAGGGCCATTTAACAAGTAGCTGTGGATGCAAGATGAGAAGGAATTTTTGTGATAAGATGACAGGAATGTCCGGTGTTTGTGTGCGTTTGAATATAGATCACTGTTTAAGTGACGATATTAACATTTTCGTCTGAGAAAGAACAGGAGATAAAAATAAGGTCATGAGATTGAAGACTTAATGAATTTATTTTGAAGAAAAAAGCTATACAAAGAGTACTGGTCGTTGTAAAATTAGAGATAAGAAAATTAATTGCAAAATACTTTTAAAAAAGTATGGCTAATTGCAGATTGGTAAACTCCTAGAAAAGAAAACATTGGCTATTAAGAATCTGATAACTACAATTTAGATGATATTTATAGCATTACTATTTTTTTAAAAGATAAAATAGGCTAAGGAAGCCGTGTTACAGGTTTAACAGTTGATAAATGTAAAATGTGTAAAGGCTTGGTAGTATTGAACAAGAAAGAAGGAGAAGCTGATGTTTTGATTTTAGAAGATAAAACTTGTGATTTGGCTGAAACAATTTGCTTATCTGAATATGATGTGTGTTGGGGCGCACGAGAGTGACCAGCGCGAGAAACTCAAGTAGAAATTTGTAATGTCTAAATTCTCTTATAAAATTGGGCTTTATTAAAAATACAAGTAATTAATGCAAAAGATGCCTTAAGCTGGGCTACAGATAAAAGTCTGAGTTTGAGAGAAGCGGGAAGTACCAGTTCTGAATAACTCAAGAGTCTATCTGTCTCTCTTTTAATGTCAGCTAGAAGCTGTTATCTGAGCATGTTATAAGTGATAATAAGCTATTTATAGTAAAACACAGTGTTTTCAGTTGAAAATCATAGACCCAGGAATGTCAGAATAATTCATTGCCAAAAAGAGGGCAATTTTTATTTGTAATTGTTTTAGAAGTAAAACTGAATGACTTTAAAGAAGTCTTTAAAATAATAATACAGATCCTAAACGAAAGAAGTTTAAGTGAAAATCTTAACTAGGTTATTCTTGAACCAGTTATATTTTTGTCTAGATCTTAATATGCACCATGAAGCAGAACCGATGACCCAGACTACAGATGAAGTACACTGAATGTACACAGTTGTGATCAAAATTCACTGAGTTTAATCTAAGCAGCTAGGTTGCTGCTTTTAAGATGGTTAATGAATTTAAGTGATTTAATACTGTTGTTATTGTTTTGGGGTTCTTCTACTGTGATGATTCTTGAATGTCTTCTCACCAACACCCAGGAGAAAAGTCATAACTGTCAAATTTGAGAAAAGTCTCTTTGATAATTCTGCCTAATTGGATGGAGCTGTAACCAGTATGCATGAGGTGTCATCCCAACGACGGGTACGATCTTCGATAGCCCTAGAAGACAACCTAAGGCAGGGTTTCACTGCTACTGGGCACCTGCCCACCAGGAAAGGGAGGTGTAATCTGTGCGAAGGGAGTGGATGTGATGCCACTGTGGGCAAAGGGCATCAAAGAGGGGACTCAGAGGACTGTGATACAGTTTAGTCTGCTTCAACCAAGAGTCCACTCCTAAATATACTTTAGAATGAACTCATCCTCCAAAATGGCTTAATTATCATTGAGATAAAATAAGTGAAGTTATTTTGTTTCAACACATTTTAAACAAATGGTAGTCGATTGTAGAAATGGGGCCGGTGTGAGATACAGGAAATCTTATCAGACAATGGGGTGTCTCAAACATAATTAACATACAGACCACAGGTGGATGCATCTGATGTGGAGACATTGACAAACATTTTTATGATGTTAGTTGCAAGAAAAATGCAGAGATATCAGGGTCTTGGGACAAAGGCATGGTGGTGGCTTAAGATGAAGACAACTAAAAGTCTGAATGACAAAGGTCAAAGGTTAGTGTAAGGAATTTACCCTGTCTAAATTACAGTCTTAGGAGGCTGTTGAAAAGATTATTCGTTTGTTCGAGAGAGAGACTGCTTGAAGGAGAAAGGGTTGGTACTTTCTGTTTTCATTCAGACAAAGAAGCTGAAGCAATTTAATGATAATAAATCAAAACCAACACAGCTGACTTTTCTAGAATCAAATGAATAATGAACAAACATGTTTTGAAACTATAGTTAAGAGGCCATAGAAAATAAGTAGATAAAAGCTATAGGAATATGCAGGGTTTAAAATTTCATTTAAACTGTAAAATCTTTTTAGAGAAAAGATAACAATGAGAAATATGAGCATTCATATTTAGATGTATTTGATGGTGATTGCACTTTATGTCTTGATAAGAGTGAGTTTAAAGGAGTTGCTCTGTCTGAATAGTGTGTGTCAGTAACCTCTGGAAAAGAGTGTTTTATCACTACTGATGAGTTAAGGTGAATGACAAATTCGAGAGAGGTTGATAATTTTGAGTCAAACTGACAATCAAGCTTGTCTGCTGGTCATGAATTTTGTTAATTTATGATGAACAATTAGATATGAATTACTGTCCGAATCAGTTTGAGTACTGGTGGAAGTTGGAATTGTAAAGTTAAATGAACATCAGTCATGGGTTGAGATAAACAAAAAGATTATAGATTTTATGGCAAGAACAAAGTGACATATTGGCTAAGATATCGAATTAGCAAGAGAGCCCTTAACATTTAGGATATTGTAAACAAAGGAAAAATGATGACTGACATCGACAAGTCTGTACAGCATGACCTGACTTGACAGAAAATAGAAGGTAAGACTGAAGGCTATTAGCCTTCAAATGCTCTGATGAGAGGACACCATTGTGTTAATTTGATGCAAGAATGGATTCCTGCATCAAAAAGGGGGATGTAATGGTAACAGTGGCCAAATATGATATGGTTTACTAGAGGACAAAAATGCCCTAATAAAATTGTTGTATAACAAATTGCAGGACTGATTCGACGGGAAGCACCAGGGTAAAAAGAAACTGTATACTTAAACTCAAAATTTGTTTTACTGTACAGAGCAAAGCAGATTTTGATACAGGAATGTGCCCAATGGAATAATGACTGGTGAATGTGGTTGTTTAACTCTACTATTTTCAATATAGCTAGAGTAAGACCAGATAGAGGAACATAGAATGCGCATGCGATTACAATGCGCTTCACAATTGCATTAACAATGAAAATGCTTTGCTCACAACAGGATTCAGTAACTCTAAACTTTGCACTGTTATCATGCTTCTTAACAAAAACATTGGTGTGGGAAGATTTTGAGCCAGATCACATCTCATACTCACATTCTCAAGAGGAAGAGGTGTATAAAAATCTGTCTGTTCTATATGTCATTTAGGTCTGTGTTCCTATCACGAGGTAGCTGTTGCGGTATTTTTGTGAACAAGCCTCCTCCAAAAGAATAAACATCTTTTGGAGTACAATTTGAATCTAATGTGGCCTTTCTCAGACAAAAACTCACAGAAGTTAAATCTATATTTTTATGTGATGAATGAGTGGACAGGACAGTTTCCACATGATTTTGTAACAAAAAGTCTACAAAATTGAGGACTTTGTTCAGGTCCAGTGAACAAATGATTATGTGAGTTTTATGACCTTATTTCAGTGACTTTAAACCTGTGAATTGAAACAAACAGTTCAAAAGAATGAAAATGATTTAAACTATATGAGGATAACTATAAAACTTTCTAGAGGATATGCAGGTATTATTTAAATAATAATGACTGAAAAAGTACTTCACAAAATTGTGTTGACCCTGATTATTTTCTGTTGATTATTTTGTCATGAAGTTTTTTAGGAGGCTTTGTCTACCTCGTCTGTTTAGAGAAAACATCACTGGTTCATTCACACTACAGGACACACAGGGGAAATTGTCTGCAAGATGCTCTAGTTATGAGACACCTTTTCATACACAGTGAATCAGCAAATGAGAAAGCAAAACCTGAGTATGTTGAGTTGACAAGATATTTCACTTGACTGTATTTTATCTTTTAATTGTTGTGAAATTGTGTAATTACTCACAGGGCTTTTCTGCAGCATCTCACAGCTGGAATGAGTCTCTCGTAGTCTGCTGATGATGAAGTGAACCTCTTTGGGTCGAACTCGTCCAGCACCTTTTCTAACGTCAGCAGTGTGTAGACCAGCACTGTGCACATTGAAGAGGAGAGTTTTCTTCCTGGATCTTCATCTGGACCGAGGTATCTCTGGATTTCATCATATAATGAATTATCTTTCAGCTCAAGTAAGCAGTGAAATAGGTTGACTGAAGCTTCCTCTGAGATGCCCTGGTCTAGTCTTTGTTTAATGTATCTAGTTGTTCTTCTGATGCTCTTTGTGGTATCTTCAGTGTCTGTCTTCTCTTCAGTGTCTGTGATCAGGCCTTTGAGCAGTTTCTGACTGGATTCCAGTGAAATGCCCATCAGAAACCGCAGGAAGAGGTCCAGATGTCCTCTCTCACTCTTCATGGCTTTACGAACAGCCTCTTGCAGTAGCTCATGTAATGTGATATCCTCATTGGACTCATAAAAGAAGAACTGAAGCTCCTGCATGTTCTTGTTCAGGTAACAGAGGAACACATGCACTGCAGCAAAAAACTCTTGGACACTCAGATGTGTAAAGCAGAAGATCTTTGACTCATGAAGTCCGTGTTCCTTCTTAAAGATCTCAGCGATCATTCCTGTGAACTCAGAGTCTGCACTCACATCAATACCACATGATTTCAGATCTTTCTCATAGAACACAACGTTTTCCTCCTTCAGCTGTTCAAACGCTAGCTTGGCCAACTTTAATATCATTTCCCTATTTGACTGTAAGAGCTTTTTACATTCTCTTTCTTCTTGTTCATCGTACTTCTGGTTCTTCATGTTCATCTGTATAAGCAGGAAGTGAATGTACATTTCAGTGAGTGTTGTGCTGATGTTCTCTGTATTGTTCTTTATGAGAATATCCTGAAGGACTGTGGCCGTGATCCAGCAGAAGACGGGAATGTGGCACATGATGTAGAGAGTACGAGACGTCTTAATGTGTGAGATGATTCTGGAGGACACAGTCTCATCTGTGAATCTCTTTCTGAAATATTCCTCCTTCTGCTGGTCAGTGAATCCTCTCACCTCTGTGAACAAACCCACATGCCGAGGAGGGATCTGATTGGCTGCTGCTGGTCGTGAGGTCACCCAGACGAGAGCTGATGGAAGCAGAGTCCCTTTGACCAGACTTGTAAACAGCACGTCTACAGGTGACTCTTCCTCAACGGTGTTTAATGATCTTTTAGTTTTAAAATCCAAAGGCAACCGACTCTCGTCAAGTCCATCAAATATAAATGCTAGCTTGCATCCCTTATATAACTCTGATTCCTCCAGGTCCTTCAGTTCAGAATAAAATTCCAGCAGAAGCTTATGGAGACTAAACTCTTCATCTTTCATCAAATTAATCTCTCTGAATGGGAGCAGGAACACACAGTCTATATTCTGATTGGCTTTCCCTTCAGCCCAGTCCAGGATGAACTTCTGCACAGAGACAGTTTTTCCAATGCCAGCGATGCCCTTTGTCAGCACAATCTTTTTCTCATCGGTTTTCTTCAATGCAGTAAAAATATCATTGCATTTGATTGGTTTGTCCTGTGTTTGTTTTTTCTTGAAAGCATCATCAATCTTCAGAACCTCATGTTCCTGATTGACCGTTTCCATATCTCCCTCTGTGATGAACAGTTCTGTGTAAACCGCTTTGAGATCTGCTTCATTTTCCTCTTTCCCCTCAAAAATACATTTAGCTTTCTCCCGCATGCTGGTTTTGTGTTTTTGCAAAAATATTTGCAAATCCTCTGTTTTGAAAATAACATAAGCAAATTAAATTACAGGCAAAAAGAGTTTTATTTTAAGGCCACACTTTTTATTATGTACCTTTACTATGTGCTAACATGTAATACAAGACTATGGATTTACAGTGACTACACTTTGTTCGGGCCGATTCCCACATTTACTGCTAATGAGCTGAGTTATGGGTTTGCTGAAGGGTTAGGATTATAGGGGTTAGAGTTAGCTTTTGGGTTAAGGGTTGGGTTACAGCTAGGGCTAACGTTAACTGTCACTACAAATGTGAATTAAACGCCCCACAACTTTTTTTAAAAGTTTTTGACATTTCTCTTCAAAATACATCCGACATGTCTAAATCCTTTAAGACCTCTATAGTGAAGAAATGATGGTTGCACCTTCTAATTGTTTCTCTGTTTTCTCCTTCGCCAAGGTTTTTTGTGGCTCTGTGAGGAAAGAGAAAATGAGAACATTTATACAAAAGGAAAGAGACAACACACTAAACTTCTTATGAATAGGATTCACAGCAAGCATTATTTCATATATTATTGTTAAAGGAACACTCCGACTTTTTGGGACTTTAGCCTATTCACCTTATCCCCCAGAGTTAGATAAGTCCATACATACCTTTTTCATCTCCGTGCGTGCTATAAGTCTGTTTGACGCACCCACCGCTAGCCTAGCTTAGCACAAAGACTGGATGTGAATGGTTGCAGTTTTCATACTAATCCAAATGAGTGACAAAATAACGCAAACATTTTCCTATTTACATGTTGTGATTTGTATAGTCACATAATGTACAAATAACAAAGTCAAATGAGACACAGACATCTTTTAACCGTATAACACCTGGGAACTATTCTCTGAAGGCGAAGCACTGCTACGTTGACGGAGTAATAACCGCATCACCGGAGACACGCCGTGGTGAGGAGCGGAGAGTTCGCTCAGAGTTTGGGTAACAGAGTCAGCAATTTATAAATAGTAAAAGCGTAGTTTACAGTCATGGGTTTTCGCTCTATTGTAAATAGCTGCGACAGTAAACAGGGGAGGTAATACCATGTTTCACAGAATTCCAACTAAAAACGCTGACTGGATGAAGAAATGGCTAACTTACTTACTCTGGATATTGATCCAAACACACCTAAATAGATTATCAAAGGACATTATGTTTGCTCGGTACATTTCAATGAGGACGATTATTTAGAAAAAATGGAATTTGCCACACGGACCATAATGTGCTGAAGGATACGGCCATCCCATCGATAGCACAGACAGGACAAGTGGATCACCTGCGGCTGAGGTAAGTGTTCCGTTATGTTTTTAGATGACCTACTGTAACAGTGCCATTAGCCAGAGCTAATGTAACGTTAGTGACACTATTATATGATTAGGGTATGAATATGTTTTTATCTTGATGCGGACGCGCTTGGAAAAAAACGAGCGCGTTGAACTTGCACCCTTCGCGCGGCGCGCCTAGTAGCATAAATTTGAAATAACCATGGAAATAACGAACTTGAGCGTGCAAAAGGGTACGATAGGCTGTGAGTTCATTGTGCAAAAACAATTTGTGCTATTACTTTCCCCTTATTCTATCCTATAGTAATGCAATTATACTGTATATTATATGCTGTTGAATACATTTGGTTCAGCTAATAAATAGCATTTAAAATATATTGATTCCTGTAATAATAATTATTTATTCATGTTCTGTGATATTTATAAATCTGGATGCGTTTTTGGTTGGAATTCAATGAAACATAGTACTGTATTACCTGGTCTCCCCTGTTTATTGTCACAGCTCATACAATAAAGTAAACACCCATGATAAACTATGCTTTTCTAACGTTAGTAATTGCTGACTCTTTACTCCAACACTGAGCGAGCGAACTCTCTGCTCCTCGTCACGGTGCGTCTCAGGTGATTGTTATCACTCTGCCCAAGTAGCAGTGCTTCGCCTGCAGAAAATATAGTATTTATACGGTTAAAAGATGTCTGTGTCTCATATGGCCTTGATATTTGTACATTATGTGACTATACTAACCACAACATGTAAATAGGAAAACGTTTGCATTATTTTGTCACTCATTTGGATTAGTATGAAAGCTGCAACCATTCACATCCAGTCTTTGTGCTAAGCTAGGCTAGCGGTGGGTGCGTCAAACAGACTTATAGCACGCACGGAGATGAAAAAGGTATGTATGGACTTATCTAACTCTGGGGGATAAGCTGAATAGGCTAAAGTCCCAAAAAGTCGGAGTGTTCCTTTAATAAATAGTGTGTATCAGAAAGTCCAGATATTATATTATATAGTTATATTATATTTTTATCATATATATTGTATTATAGTCATTATTTTATATATATACAAACTACATTACCATTTCCTGCAGTGTTTGAGCTGTAGTTGAAGGTCACTGGGGCTGTGAAGGTGCTTCTAGCAAGTACAGGAGCGTTTACAGTTGCTCCTGTTTCAGCTTTCACATCAACACTGCTGCTCATCTGGACTGGAATACAGATAGAGAGATTAATTACAGTGCTTAAATCACAACTTTAACATTTCTGATTTGTTCTTTTTTCTTTTATCACTGTTACCTCCTTCATCTAGTGTGTTATCAGAACAGCAGCAACAGACAACAGAAGCCATTGTCCTTTACTGACTTACAGCTGTTGGACAAGAACACAAATGTCTATAATGAATCGTCTGTTATCAGACACTTTCCAAAAATACAAAAAACAGAGCAGAGTATAAGTGCTGTCAATCAATTGTTTTTAAAATGTACTAATTATTATTATTTTTGGTCATTTTTTTGGTAATCGCGATAAACGGTAAAGTTTTAAATATATTTTGAAATTGTTATACTTTCACATTAAATCTCCAAAATAATGTAGCATAAATTATAAATTAATAAATCTTTGCACACACAGATATTGCTGTAGCTTTAGATTTGCAAGAGGCCTATAGGTAGATAATCTTCAGGATATGTGGCCGCATGAAAATGACAAAGGACCATCAAATATAAGTGGGGTTTGTATTTATTCCTTATAATTAGTTAGGAGTTTATGTTTCTTTTACTGTTCATAGGGCAGAAGACTCACAATAAAACAAAATACAGTGCCAGTATATCTTTGGATCACACAGCAAATTGTTCACCCCAAAATAAAGGAAATATAAAAGTAAAATTTGTCGCCTCTTTTTGTGTGCAATAATAAAGAACAATGCAAATAAGGCATCACCAATAACAATAATACGGTAGTGGTACTTCTGGAAAGAAAACAACTTAGAACTGCATAAACAGTTCGACTGAAATAACACTCACTAAATACACCTGAAATGACATAAACATCCATCTACCCTGTGGAGTAGTCTACGTGATACGCAGGTATACGCCATGTTTTTAATGAAAAAATCAAAAGTAGAGCTGTACAATAAATCAAATCTCGATATGGACTAGTGTCTGTGAATATTAAAGCTCAAAGAGACTGCAATTGTTCTACGCGTCTCTGGGAATGAGCACTCAATGCGGCTCTACTACACACACACTGAAGCGTAGCAAACGTGACGCTCGTGGTGTTTTCAGCTTTTCACTGTATGAGGACATGATGTAGGCTTGTTGACACATGCGATCAAGCAAAACGTGCGTACCCCCGTTATAAACATTCACCACCCCAGAAATGATCCCTGACCCAGCTTGCCACCCCGTGATTTGTTTTCTAGATCTGCCCCTGCTGCGAGTGCAAATTTCATCATTCAACTTCAGATTTGTATTTTACAAGTTTTCGCATTGGAGCTGTGAGTGTAAATTTTAGTGTACAAGTACAAATATTTATTGTACAAGTTCTCAAATTCACATCTACGTGCTCTCGAGTTTTGCTCTACCTTCATCCCCTCCTGCAACACATCCATTTTCTCACGCAAAGAAAATTTGTGGAGCAAAGAGGACACTGAGACCGACAGACTACAGAGCAGGTTACTGTTGATGAAACAAATATCAGCTCTCAGGTTATGTCCATTTTATTACGCAATTCAGACAAAAAAATACCGTTTTGGAGCTTACAGCCTTAATGTGACGTGACAGATCGCTGCACTTCAGTTCAGGTAAACCGGTCATCTGTTACTTTTTATAAAGAAACACGACTTACACAACTTTGCCTCTTACATAATATCGATCAATCAGTGTTTTTCAACCCCGGAAAGAGGTCAATAAAACAGCAGGAGAACAATTATGTCCCAGAGCGTTACATTTACCTCAGGAAAGCCATTTAATGACCTGCACGTTATTGGCTAGAAAAATAGCAGGAATATTTTGCTAAATATGTGCACTATATTACATATTTATTATGTTTACTTATCATTACTTGTTATTGTAATGAAAACTGCATTATATTTCATTTCTCTGTTTACAGCATTATGTGAGATATATTTTTTCTTGAGAAAAATTAACATGCAGGCTATTTACTGTAGCCTACCTAATATTTATCCAAATGAGTCAATAATGAATCAAGATTGAAATGAAATCCAAGAATTCAAATGAAATACCATGTAAAAATTGTTTACGAAATGTTTTGACAATCACAATTACACATTGTGATGCAAGTTGTTGTTTTTTTTAGATACCCCCAATCTCTTGTGCAATTAAAGTATTGTGCTAATACCGTACACCGTGCTAAAAGCTCAATCAATTAATCACAGTGTAGCAGTATGGGTTATGACCCCTCCTACTTGTTTGTGGTTTGGCCAATGGCCTGTCACCTGTTGCGTATAAGAGCACAAACTACCAGTTTATTGATGTGTGTCATTTTCTGGGGCTGTGACGTCACCCTCGCGCCCTGCTGCTTTCCTGGCCGGACTGCACTGTTGAATGGGTTGCCCGTAAACACCGCTGAAGCTGCTATCTAATGGCTGTGATGTCTACTGGGTGTGGGTGCTTCCAGTTGAGTCAGGTGTGGACTATTGAGACAGTGTACGACCTATCTGCGTTCCGGCCAATGAGTTTTGTCAGAGACATTTGGCTCTATCCACCGCATAGTTTGCGATGTGATCCATGCTTTGCTGCACGCGTTAAGGGAAATAGCGGCGTTCCGAATGAGTATTACATGCTGTGCCTCATCCTAAAGTGCTGATTGCTCCAACGTCCTCCTTCATCAACGACTGCTGTTCTGTTTCCACTGATTTCCCCGCGTCTTGCACGGGACTGAAACGTTTCTCATGACTTTATTTTTAAAGTGAACTTTCTGGGCTTAGGCTCAGTAAGGAAGTGTGATATGCTTAGTGTTTTTATTTCTTTCATTGATTTCCATGTTCGAGTATGTTTTGAATCTGTATTTTTATTTCAATTGTGACCAGTGAATTAATGTGTGGCTTGCAAACACTGTTTGCTTGAGTCAAACTGCCTAATTTATTGGATTATTTCATTTAGTGATTTTTTTTTTTTTTAAATTTGAGTTTATCTTTTGTTTTCTTTGCGTTTTTGATTGTGGTGACTGGATGGTGATCAAATAGTTGGTCCCTTCTGGGCATTACATTAATTTGTTGTATTTTGTTTTCTGTGCATATCAAGGCTCTCTCTTACTGTCTCCTCTTCATTTGTCGGCAGGACCTGGGCACCCGGGGGCCAGACGAGTGATCTTTTGGTGGTGGCATCCTCACTGTGTGTCGTGGTCTTCTCTGACATGAGTTGCTGAGTGTGTGCTTGTGTGTGTGTGCACTGTGAAAAGAGTGATTTTTCTAAGGGTGATATCTTGAGACTGCCCCTGTTGGTAAGCCCAGGTTCCTCTGCTGCCAACGATAGGATTTAAAGGGTTAGTTCACCCAAAAATGAAAATTAAGTCATTAATTACTCACCCCCATGCTGTACCAACCCCGTAAGACCTTCGTTCGTCTTCGGAACACAAATGAAGATATTTTTGATTAAATTTGAGAGCTGTATAACTACCACATTGGCTCCCTAAGGGACTGCCTCTTGACGGCCCAGAAAGTCAATGAAGAAAATGTTTAAATATCCCAAGTGACTACCGTGGCTCAACTATATGTTTATCAAGCGACGCGAATACTTTTTGTGCGAAAAAACAAACAAAAATAACGAGTTTATTCGACTAGTTCTTTTCTTCCTTGTAGGCCAGAACGAGACTTCCTTAGATTTCCACGACGCATGCGCGAGATTTGCGATCTTACACCAGCTTACACCACTTCAGATCGTAATTCTCGCGCATGCGTCGTGGAAATCTAAGGAAATCTCGTTCTGGCCTAATTTACTAATTATTATTATTTTTGGTCATTTTTTTGGTAATCGCGATAAACGGTAAAGTTTTAAATATATTTTGATATTGTAATACTTTCACATTAAACCTCCAAAATAATGTAGAAACAGCATAAATTACTAAATCTTTGCACACACAGATATTGCTGTAGCTTTAGATTTGCAATAGGCCTATAGGTAGATAATCTTCAGGATATGTGGCCGCATGACAATGACAAAGGACCAACAAATATAAGTGGGGTTTGTATTTATTCCTTATAATTAGTTAGGAGTTTCTGTTTCTTTTACTGTTCATAGGGCAGAAGACTCACAATAAAACAAAATACAGTGCCAGTATATCTTTGGATCACACAGCAAATTGTTCACCCCAAAATAAAGGAAATATAAAAGTACAATTTGTTGCCTCTTATTGTGTGCAATGATAAAGAACAATGCAAATAAGGCAACATCACCAATAACAATAATACGGTAGTGGTACTTCTGGAAAGAAAACATCTTATAACTGCATAAACAGTTAGACTGAAATAACACTCACTAAATACACCTGAAATGACAAACATACAACTACCCTGTGGTGTAGTCTGATAGGCAGGTATACGCCATGTTTTGAATGGATAAACTAGTGGACTAGTGTCTGTGAATATTAAAGCTCAAAGAGACTGCAATTGTTCTACGCGTCTCTGGAAATGAGCACTCAATGCGGCTCTACTACACACACACTGAAGCGTAGCAAACGTGACGCTCGTGGTGTTTTCAGCTTTTCACTGTATGTTCTGGCCTACAAGGAAGAAAAGAAATAGTCGAATAAACTCGTTATTTTTGTTTGTTTTTTCGCACAAAAAGTATTCGCGTCGCTTGATACACATATAGTTGAGCCACGGTAGTCACTTGGGATATTTAAACATTTTCTTCATTGACTTTCTGGGCCGTCAAGAGGCAGTCCCTTAGGAGCCAATGTGGTAGTGAGACAGCTCTCAAATGTAATCAAAAATATCTTCATTTGCGTTCCGAAGACGAACGAAGGTCTTACGAGGTTGGTACAGCATGGGGGTGAGTAATTAATGACTTAATTTTCATTTTTGGGTGAACTAACCCTTTAACAAAGAGATGAGAGTGATTGCTGGCCAACACCTTTTAAAATTATTGTGTCTTACCAATTAATAAACTTTTGTACGACTGCCATTGTCTCTGATTCATCCACATACCTGCCAACTTTTGAGTTTTGCTTGGCGTGAGATCTGTTGACGGGGGGGGGGGGGGGGGGGGGGGGGGTCGTTCATAGATCGTTCGCTATAGATCAAAGGAGATTTGTAACTAATTTGCGGTATAACTAGTGGATCACGAGTTGCCCAACAGATAGATCAATAGATAAACTCAACTTCAGGCATTTGACTGACCCATAGCTGT